CCCCCCCCCCCCCCCCCCACCCCGCCCCGTAACTATCTAGCCCCGGTAAACCAGTATATTTCTCGAATCTAACAATGACAACCAAACAAAACCACAGAGTACGCTCGAATGACTGTACATCACATGCTGCGTTTGTTCCATCTTCACTTCGCCCGTTTCGTCTCTCCCCAACATCCCTCAACCAAGCTACGCTTACACGACGATGCTTTTCGGTTTGCGAATCTCGTCCGATCGTAAAAAAGCTTGTTTTTCGACGCGCAGCACAATTCATGGCAGTGCCACAGATTCAGCAACGCCAACTCCCAATGATGGCCTCAATCGCAACATCGAAGATGTATTACATACTTCCTCTACCCCGAAAGCCGTCAGTAATAGCGCCACGGAGAGCAGCACAGGTAGAGGTAACGAGGGACTCGGCGGAGGCGCCAGTAACGGTAGTGGATCTGGCGGCAATGGAAGTAACAATTCCGACGGACACCATCTACCAGACGACTTGAAACAGGCTCTGGCGTTCGGATCACTCACTGAGCAAGCATTCAAACACTACTACAAAGCATTGAAGAATCCTATGTTAAAGCTTTTGATGGCAATTCCTGCATATCGATCAAGGGCACTGGCTGACTCTGGCTTCTTCTTCAAACTAATGGTTCAAGAACTCATTGGCAATAGAACATCTCTTGCCTCCGAGATAGCAGTGCGTGGCAGCGACATTGTGCATGAGCTAGAATACGTAGCTTCAGATCTAATCGTCGGAACTGTGATTGAAGCTGGCTTCGTGTGGCTCTTGGCACCCACTTTGTCACTTCCATCCAAAGGTGGATCAGCTTTTGCTCGATTTCTTTCTACCCTGCCTTCCAACATGTTCCAGCAATCCACAGCACTTCGACAGTTCTCCATGTCTCAACGAGCTGCATCCTTCGTGTACGCAGGAATCCAATACACTGCCATAGGATTTGTAGCGGGTATTGTTGGTACTGCCATAACTTATGCTCTTATAGAAGGAAGGAAACGTCTGGACAAAACGCATCAGCCTGAACGGCCCTTGCCAGCAGTAATTCTGAATTCTGCTGCTTGGGGCGTGTTTATGGGAATTTCCAGCAATACTCGCTTCTAATTAGTGGAAGGGCTCGAGCTTGGTATTGCTAACCTGTTTAATGGAAAAGCAAAACCGCTCGTGAATAGTTCCATAATAGCTCTGCGCTTTGCAAACAACTACTGGGGAGGCGTCCAATTCGTTCGCTTCTTCAGATACCTTGGCTTGCATGCTACTGGAGAGCAAATGGAACAAGAAGCGCAGCATTAACCGTGTGCCCTTTGTGTTAGGATTGGTTCACATCTCCCGAATGGGGTTTGTAGCCAAAGGAACCTATTGGTGATAGTCCATATCAACAACGAAGACAAACTGGAATGCGCTTTTCTCAAGCAAGTCAAAAGAAGGGTGCATGTGAATGAGAGGATGTTTTGGCAAGTTCTATGCTCTTGTCAAACGTTTGCAGCAGCTCGGTGTGTGATCCAAGATGCACATTCGAATAGAAAATAAACGGACCAGTCACAACTGTTGCCTGGACTTCTCACGACTGCCCAATTCATCTTGGTACATACAAGCAGCGTAATGCAATAATGAGATTTGAAAGGCACTGACAAGAAGATTTATTTAGTAAGTGTGGAAGATGGCACGCAAGTACCGGAACCCATGAACTGTAGAACCAGTGCGTGAATGCAGTTGATGTGTCCGTGACAGTATCACAAGCCAGTCGTTTCGGTCTTGGGTAGCTAATAACGCAGCATGGGCGCACGATCCTCCGGGCTCGATTTTTGGGTGGCGATTTTTGGGTAGCATTGAGAACAGTACGGACGCATATGCGCAAGGACCGACAGGCAAGGACCGACATGTTGAACGTGGTGATGCTCCTGTAAGAATTGACTGAAGCTTGTCAAAGACATCTCGGCTATCCCGGGGTAATGTGACAAGTCGGACATGTATCATTGTCTTACTGTTGAGCATTGCTGCCTAGTAGAAATCATCCTTTAACAGATTGGCATTACTTCCATGCCAGTTACCGTTGTCACACTGCTGCATATGTTCCGTAGTTGACTGGCGATAGAGGATATGCTCAGCAGTATATAAGAAGAGTAGTATAGAGCAAGTTGATGAACCAAAAAGGTAGCCTTGTGAAGAAAGGCATCCTAAATTACCACTTCGTCTCAGGAGTGGTAGCATCGCTACTACAGGATCCAAATTCTTCCTTGGCTCAAGTGCAACTATTGGCGCATCTACTGAAACAGACTGCTTGACAATACGGAAGAAGATCAACTGTCGAGGCGCTTGCATAAATTCAATGCTAAACGTGGCGAAGACTTTAACCTGTGGTCGCTTCGTTTTGAAGCACTTTTGGAGTCAAAGAATCTGTTAGATGTCATCACGTCTGATCCTTTAGAAGAAACCCCGTTTCCGGAGCTGAGTACAGAGGTGAAGTCCCAAGTACTCAAGGCAAAGTCGCTACTGGTGCAGTCACTGGGGGACAAGCCTCTACGGACGGTCGCAGGTGAAAAGAAAAATCCCTACAAGATGGATGAAAAATTGCAAGACCGGTATGCAACGCAGAATACGGCCACTAGGGTACAGCTTCATACAGAGTTGTACCGGAAAACATTCGACAAAAGCAACACCATGTCTGAATACGTGGATGGGTTTGAGGCCATTTTCAATCAGCTTGAGGTCATGGAAAGTCCCCTGCCTGAATCTATGCAGATTGCTATTCTGTTTGCGAGCTTTGGGAAAACGAATGAGTCCCCCTTTGGAGCCGTCATAACTGCTCTCCAGACAATGTCCGACAATGAGCTTACATGGGATAGGGCAACAGCACGCCTTTTGCAGGAGTACAGTGTACAAAGTAATTCGACCATGGCCTCGAATGGTGTGGAGACCGAGTCTAACCATATACCGCAGAGAGCTCTGAAGAGCAAAGCACAGGTACAGTGCTATGGATGTGGCAAGTATGGTCACTACAAGAGAGAATGTCGCTCCCAGAAGCGATTCCAGGATGGAACCAAACGTTTACAGTTTGGATCTGGGGGTCATGAGAAAGCCCTGTACCATCACACGAGAAGTGAGGTGGGCAATGGTATGGTCATAGACTCCGGCGCCAGCTGCCACATGATGGCTGATAAAAGGCTCTTTGACAAAATTGAGAGCGTGGAACCTAGAACCATAGCCCTTGGAGACGGCAACCGTATACGCGCAGAAAGAATGGGAACGGTAACGATACCGACTTTAGAACACGAGCATGAACGGAAGTTACTAGTTCTGAAGCGCGTGCTTTATATACCCGACCTGGATACAAATCTCGTCTCATGTGCTGCGCTGGACATGGATGGATACACAACTCACTTTGGGGATGGTCGCTGTGAAATTCGTCTCGGTAATGAAGTTATGTGTATTGGCAAACTAAAAGGTGGCCTCTATGTGATGCAAATTAGCCCTTCGAGGGACAGTGAATTGGTGGTTATAGATCACTCGAAATCAGGGGAGGAACTTTGGCACCGACGTTTTGGCCACGTATACAAACGAACACTGAAAGACATGGCGACACGAGGAACTGTTTGTGGTATGAACTTTAACGATTCGGCCCAAGTAGACGTGGATTGCGTGCCCTGTGTCAAGGGAAAGCAGGCTCGACTTACTCTAAAGTCACGCTCTCACAAAGAAAGTGGACCTGGTGATGTGATATTCACCGATGTCTGTGGACCTCTACCCGTGAAGAGTTTGAGCGGAAAGGTTTACTTCATCACGTTCAGTGATGCACATTCCTCTTATAAGGATATAAGCTTGATGACTCACAAGTCAGAGTCGTTAAGCTGCTTTAGGAACTTTCAGTCAAAGTTCGAAAGTAAGTTTGATTGCAAAGTGAAACTACTGTACTCGGATAATGGGGGAGAATATCAAGGACTCGTAGAATACCTGGAAAAGCAAGGTATTGAATGGGAACCCTCCGCCCCATACACACCCCAACAAAATGGGGTTGCCGAGCGTCTCAACAGGACGCTCATGTAGATGACTCGTGCAATGCTAGCTCAGGCTGGACTACCCGATAAATTTTGGGGAGAGGCGGTGTGCACAGCTGTCTCAATTCGTAACATTACAGCAACAAACGCGAACAATGGGAGGACGCCAGTACATATTCTTACCGGCAAAGTCCCTTATGTTGGACATCTCCGATGCTTTGGCTGCGAGGTATGGAGCTTTAATTCAAATAGAAAGAAGCTGGACTCCAAATCAAGGAGATGCATTTTGCTGAGAAGCCTTCCTCATAGGAACTATCGAGTGTGGGACATAGAGTCTGGTCGTGTCTACCATGTGAGACATGTGAAAATCAACGAGATTGTATACCCTGCCGCTGAAATGGATCAAGTGACAGATAAAAAAGGATTACTTGACACTTGGATTAGTAAGATGGATGGCATTGAGTACGATTATATCGAGGAAGAAGACGATAAATCACCGGAGATATCCGATGGTAACGAAGGCAGCTCGACTGTACCGTTAATTTCTGCAAACAGCAACGCGGAAAATCTCACCTATCACCCGGCTTCTGAGACCAATTCCCAACAAAATGGGGAACGCAGATACCCACTTAGAACTCGAAGTGCTCCCTAACGTTACGGGTTAGCAGCAGAAGATTCAGTGCTGTTGGCCACAGAGAATAGAGGGTGGGCAGTGCTACAAACTCTCGACGAGGCTCGGACTGTGAAGGATAGTCAAGAGTGGCTTGCGGCAGTGAAAGAGGAAATTGATTGTTTAGAGAAGAACGATTCATGGACTACTGCCCAGCTACCGAGCGGCATTAAGGCAGTAGACTCAAAAATTATATTCACAATGAAGCTCAAAGCCGACGGAGCAGTGGACAAGCGCAAGGCAAGACTTGTTGCTAAAGGCTTCCAGGAGGGGCATGTTGCAGATGTATATGCACCGGTTGTTGACTTCGCTACAGTACGTCTGACACTCGCAATCATGTGTGGAAAAGGAGTATTCATTCACCAGATGGATGTCAAGTCAGCATTTTTGAATGGCAAATTTGATGAGGATGAAGCTATGTACCTCAGACCCCCTCAAGGTTTAGACCTTGGGGTCAAGAATGGCCAGGCTTTAAAAATGCTGAAGGCTCTGTATGGATATAAGAGAGCCCCAAAGATATAGAACAAAACCTGGAATAGATCACTGAAGCGGCTTGGCTTTGAAAAACTCAGAGCAGATGAATGTTTTTATGTCATAAAAATCCAGGGCAGTACGGTGTATGTCCTGGTCTATGTGGATGATGTTCTGGTAATCGGAATCTGCATGAAGGCAGTGACGGCCGTCAAGCACATGCTTTCTCAAGAATTTGAGATGACAGACCTTGGGACTGCTAAATCATTTCTTGGGGTTGAGTTTCTGTATACCAGTGAAGGTGTCTCTCTCCGTCAGAAGTACCACATCGAACAAATGCTCGAAAAGTTTGGAATGTCAGAGTGCAAACCAGTCCGAACTCCTTTGTGTACATCTACAGTACACGAAAACATTTTTCATCTTTTGCCCGATCCTAGTATCGGCCGATTCCGAGAAGCTATTGGATCCCTGCTGTACTTATCAACCAGAACAAGACCAGACATCTCAGCTGCTGTCTCCATTCTCTCACAGAAATGCGAAAATCCGTCCCAAGAAGATTGGGTAAATGTAAAAAGGATTATGAGATATTTGAAGGGAACATCCACAATGAGTCTGCAGTTTTCATGGAAAAAGGAGTCAGCGCTCCCGTTAGTGGAAGCTTACTCAGATGCGGATTGGGCTGGGGATTGATCAGATCGCAAATCAACAAGCAGTAACGTTATATTTGTCAATGGAACGCCAGTAATTTGGCAAAGCAGGAAACAGACAGGTGTGGCTTTATCTTCTACAGAATCAGAGTACGTAGCCTTATCTGAATGCATGAAGCAGACAAAGTGGGTCAGAATGATGTTGGCTGAACTGAACATGCTCCGCACTGGCCCGACCGTGGTGTTTGAAGATAACTTGGGTGCTCTGCGCTGGTCGTCAGGTGAGAGACGAGCCAAACACGTAGACATCCGATTCCACTTCGTCGTTGACGAAGTTGCGAGGGGTAATATTCATGTTCAGTACTGTCCTACTCAACATGTGTGAACAGAAGACCGATACCTCCTCGTTTACTCGTCGTCGCTCGCTAGTTATAAGTCTATCCTGAAGGACAGACTGTCCTGTGCGGTCTGAGACTGCAAAATGACTATTGGCGAATGTGATTGTGCGGTCTGACAGTCCCCGGGTTCGCCAATAGGGGTTTTGGGTCGACGAAGCTGAGCTTGTTGAGGAGAGTTTTCGTGCGTTGTGGGCCGAGTGGCTTTGTGAAGTAGTCGGCGACGTTGTCCTCGGAGGGGATGTGTGGGATTTTGATGTTTCCTCGTTGAATGTGGTTGTGTATGAGGTGATGTTTCACATCGATGAACTTTCGACGTTTGGTGGGCGCCGAGTTCTGTGCCACGAGGATTGTTGCCTTGTTGTCTACTAGAAGGGGGGTGGGTTCGTGCTCCCCCTGGCCGCGAGGTATTCCGCCTCACAGGTGGAGTCGGCTACTACGGATTGCCGAGCTGAAGTCCAGCTGATCGGCGCGTCGTGGAACATGTGTACTGCTCCGGTTCGGGATCGGCGTGCGTGGTCGTTGGCGAAATCCGAGTCGCTGTATGTGCGGAGGCTTGGAGAGGCGTTGGGAGCCTTGGCTTTGAACAGTATTCCGTGGTTTGCTGTACCGCTGAGGTACCGAGGGAGCCAGTGGAGGTGGTTCTTGTGTGTTCGAGCCGGTTTGTGCATGACTGAGGCTAGCATGCTGACCGCGGGGTGGATATCGGGCCTGGTGCTGTCGGCTAAGTATCTGAGGTCTCCGATTGTTTGGCGGAAGAGAAAGGATTGGTGCTGTTCTAAAAGGGGGTCGTCTTGCGCGTACGTGAAGGTTGCTTTAGGGGGTAGCGGTGTTCGCTTTGGATTGGAGGACACCATGCCTGTTTTTGTGAGGATAGTTTTGGCGACGTTGGGTTGCGAGATGTGTATGGAGCCATCTGTGAGGCGTTGGATGTGCCATTTGAGATACCTGGCAGGGAAGCCGAGACGTTTGATGGTGTATTTGGCTGCGAGAGTGGCGTGGAGCTCGTCGTGTAGCTCTTGAGAAGATGCAGCTGAAAGGAAATCGTCCATATTGATTGCGACTAGAATGAGGCCGCGTTTGGATTTTTTGTAGAGGAGGCAGGGGTCTGCCTGAGTGGGCTGGTAACCATGCGCGATTAGGTGCTTGGAAAGTCCGTCGTGGTAAATACGTGCTGCCTGAGGTGTGCCATAGATATTGCGCATGAGTAGACCTGCTTTGCATGGATGTTTGAGGGTGCCGTTGAACCGGGGGTGCTGCTTGATGTATACCGGTTTCGGTTGAGGGAATTTCTCGTGGAGATAGGCGGAGCTGATGTCTAGGTGTTCTAGGGGCCATTTGTGCGTGGCTGCGATGGAGAGGAGTAGACGTACTGTAGTCTTGTCCGCCATGTAGGTGGTGACTTGTTCGGGGTCGTAATGTGTCCCCGGGGTCATGCGGTCGCCGCGTGCTGCGCAGCGCGCCTTGCGGTCAGTTACTGTACTGGTGTGATCCCGAATGTACCTGAATGTCATTGTGAGTGGTATGAGCTTCTCATGTATGGGGATCTGTCGGTCTGGTATCCATTTGATGGTTCCTGTTGCGTCTAGCTTATCGAGCTCTGTGTCGTGTGCATGTTCCCATTCGGCAGCGTCAGGGTAGGTTCTGGCTTCTTGTCTGGTACGGGGGTCGGGTGTGGTGAGTTGTAGTCCGGTTCCGCGTGTTGCTGCTGGTGAAGTGCGGAGGACGGCTGTTGTGGTCACTGTAGGGTCATGTGTTTTTGTGTACGGACGGAAGTCTTGCGTGCGTGCGATGTGGTACTTGCTTGTGTGTGTATCTTGCACTGTGATCGAGTGGGGGCTGTTGGAGTACATGTGTCGTACTGCTCGGCTGCGTGTGTCTAGTTTGCGTTTTGTGCCGTATATAGGTATTGTGCCTAATTGTCCGAAGATGAGGAGCTGCTTCGGCTGTGCTTTCTGTTTGTGCCATAGTGTGTATGGGGCTTGTCCGGTGGCCCGATGAGGTATGATGTTGTATTTATAAGCCGCATCGCGTACTGCGTCCTCCCAATAGGCGTCCGTTAGGTTGGCGTGGTGGAGATTGGCTCTGGCGGCGTTCATGAGAGTTTGATTAATTCTCTCGGCGATAGAATTTTCCTGAGGCTGATGCGGGGTATTATTCTCGTACTTGATACCGAGGGAGGCGTAGGTGTGCAGCGCGTGGTTGGATTTAAATTCGCGTGCGTTGTCAGTGCGGTAGGTTCGAGGAAGGCGGTTGCGTTGCTTCAGCAGCGCGAAGAATTGCGGCATGATGATTCCTACTTCGCTTCGGGATTTGAGAAAATACAGCATGACGTATCTGGAAGCCGCATCTATGTACGTTAGGAAATGGTGGTTGCCGTGGTTGGATGGAGGATGGATAGGGCCGCATGTGTCAGAACTTAGATAGTCGCCCGTGTCATAGTGGTGTTGAGTGGGAGAATGGCGTGCGGGTCGTTGCTTCGCGTGTGCACATGCGGAGCATGACAGTCGGTTTTGGGTGGCGGCGAGAGCGGGTGGAAGGCCTTGTAGCTTCCTCGATTTGGCGATGTCTTGTATTTTGCGTAGGGGGCATGGTTGAGCTTTAAATGCCAGTGGTGTAAGATCTTGTCTGTGGCCTTACAGGGAATCGGTGCGATGGAGGGTGCCGGTATTGAGCTTACAGGTAATGGTGTAATGGATTTCCTTTTTGTGGTAGTGGGAGGAGGGGCTCGAGTCGCGATGAGGCGCGGATTGGCAGGGGTTTTTGAAGGGGTTTGTGAACTGTGTTTTGACGACGGCGTGGGTGTTTTGGATCTGTGTTTCGGGGCGTGGATCGTGCGTGCGCCCCTTGCCTGTGCGTTCTTTGT